AGCGGAGGTCCGTCGGCGCGCCGGCCGGAGGACGAGGACGCTCTCCCGCGCCCAGCAGCCGCGTCTGAGGCGGCAGCGCCGCGTGCCCCCGCTTCATCCCGATAGGCCCCGCCCCCGACGTCCTCGGATTAAGCCCCGCCCATCCAGCGCGCAGCCTTCTGGGAGTTGTAGTCTCGGCTGGCCCCGCGGTGCCGCGGTCCTGCAAATGGCGAACTACTGTAGAGGGGAGCGCTCCGCCTTCCCGGGGTCGGGCTCCGCGGCGGCCAATGAGACGGGACCACGCGGGCTCCAAAACACCGGGGAGCTAGTGGCTGGGGGGAGCAGAGCGCCCCTTGAGGGGGGCCGTCCAGCCGAGGCCGCGCCCCCCTCCGCTGGCCGTGCGGAGCGCGGATGCGGGCCGGCCTCGGGCCTGAGTCCGCCGCGCGCCGCCGCCGGAGCCGGGCCTCGGCCCCGACCCGCCGTCCCGCCCCAGCCAGGCGGGACCTTTGACCTGGGATGGAGCGGAATCGCTTCGTCTCCGTCCCTTTCCCGACCCCTCCCCTCCGCTGCAGCCGCTCGGAGCCGTCGCCCGCGTCCCCTCCCGACTTCCCGCCCCGGCCGCGTCTGTCCTCTCTGGGCCCCGTCGCACCCTGCTGCTGTGTGGACACCTGCGTGTGTAACGGACGTGAGGACACTGTAGGTATTACATAGCAGGCGCGTGAGAACGCGAAGATTATATATAATGCGCCAGTACAACCCGAAAGCGCGCGACCACCAGGCTGGGACCCCACATCCAGCATGTGCTGCACCCTTACCCGGCCCGAACCCCCACCTCGAGTATCGCCCTGGGATTTCCCAGGTGCTGCCTTGCACCTAGGAAGTGTCGGTGAATGCTAAGCTATCTTAGCTTCAGTGATTTCCTCAATTTCTACAAACCTGTATCCCCTTCTGTCTCTGTAGTGGGAAATAGTTTCATGTAACAAATTGCCACAAGTTTAGTGGCAAAAAAAAAAACAACAAAAATCAACCCACCAGTTATGTTACATTCTGGCTGTCAGACGTCCAAAATGGGTCTTCAGGACTGCATTGCTTTTGGAGCCTTAAATGGACCATATATATGTTCCTTGCCTTTTTAAACTAAGCCACCTGCCCCTCCCTCATTGATCGCTCCCAACATTGTCACATTCCTTTCACTTTCTTATTGATAGCTGCTTTCTTTTTCTTACCCTAACTCTAATGCTTTCCTTACATTAACACTATTAGGGTTGCATTAAAATCACCCAAATAAGTCAGGGACTCACTCTGTCTCAAAATCCTTCACTTAATCTCATCTGCAGTCTCTTTTGTCATTTAGGGTGACAGGCTCCAGAGACTAGTGCTAAGCCACAGCAAAAGGGAAATGCAGGTCCCTGGTTAAAAGAAAAAAAAAGTGAAGGATGTTAAGAAAGACAGTGGCAACAAAGCATTAGGCCCTCATGACCACACAGGCCCTCTGCTGTGGCATCACATCTGCTCTTCCCTTAATCTCTTCCTCATTTCGTTCTCCCTTGCCTCCAAATCTGTCCAGAGCTTTCCTTGCTTAAAATCAAGAATTGTGCCAGGCAATGGTGTCTCATGCCTGTAATCATAGACTCTCAGGAGTCTGACATCTGAGGATCATGGTTTGAAGCCAATCCAGGCAGGAAAATTTGTAAGACTTTTGTTTCCAATTAACCAGTAAAAAGCCAGTAGTGGAGCTGTAGCTCAAGCAGTAGAGCACTAACCTTGAGTCAAAAAATTAAGAGACAGTGTCCAGACAATGAGTTCAATCCCCAATAGGGCACAAAACAAAACAACATGTAATAAAACACCAGAATTGTAACTCTCTTCTTCTTCAGCTACATGTCCATGTCTTCATTTCTCTGACAAACTTGTACTTCCTATCCTACCCTTCTCAACTTCCTCAATGTGCTATGGATAAGAGAGCTTTTAACCAATCCAATGGACATTCTTCAAGATAGCTTGTTTGTGCTACATTGGCATCCATACTTCATAAGGCTTTGTTATACAATTAAAAAATTGTGTGTGGTAAACGTCCTTTTAAAAATAATCTCATGTTTAGCGGGGCGCCAGTGGCTTACGCCTGTAATCCTAGCTACTCAGGAGGCTGAGATCTGAGGATCAAGGTTCAAAGCCAGCCCAGCAGGAAAGTCTGTGAGACTCTTATCTCACCTCTTCCTGCCAGGTGACTCCTCCCACTTTCTGTCATGTGATGTCACCTGCTGTCTGCTCATGCTCAGCATGAATCCCTAAGGATGTGGTTGGAAGTTGAAAAAGGAAGGATAAACCAATACCCTTGAATATAAGGCCTATCTCCCCAAAAAAGTCACCTCCGCTAAACTTTAAAAATAATTGTAAGAGAAAGAAGAATAGCAGTTAAAAGATTATCTCAGGGTTGTAAGTTTTGCCACTCAGCTCCCTGGAGAGGCAAATTCATCAGGACACAGTGCTGATAGATTCTGAAGGAGTAGGAACTAATTGACAGTCTTTCTAGGGCACGGCCACCATGCCCATCATTCTGTTTCTTTCATCATTGGTCCCTCCTGTCAGACTGCCAATTCCTCCTAGAGCTTGGCTCAAGGAGAGACAGAGAGCCAGTGGCCTGTAATCCTAGCTACTAAAGAGACTGAGATTTGAGGATCCCAGTTCAAAGCCAGCCCAGGCAGGAAAGTCTGTGAAACTCATCTCCAATCAACCACCAGAAAACCCGAAGTAGTGCTGTGGCTCAAGTGGTAGAGCACTAGCCTTGAACTGAAAACCCGAGGGACAGCACCCAGGCCCAGAGTTCAAGATCCACGACCAAATTTTAAAAAAAAGATACAGAGAAAGAACCTTGATCTACAACCCCACAGGACTGAAAGGAATGACAAAAGTAGTTGCATGGATACACAGCAGAGGCTGGATTCTGTCCTTAGTAAAAGAAGGCCTGTGGGCCAGATAAGAGCAACAGATGTCTCCTCAGGCAGTCATGCTTTTACTGAGCATTTCATTCACATTCACTTTTCTTTACCTTAATGTTAATTTACATATGCATTAAATTATCACAGAAATCCCGGTTATGGGACACCAGAAAGCACACGTCAGGACACTGGCCAAAGGGAAATAGTAATAATATGCTCTTGCAGAGAATATAATCTCTGATATACTTACACCATCTGGGCTCATTGAACCCAATGATCTGGAGCTGAGGTACAGAAAGAATATATTTTGTATAATTTCTGCATATTTACTGTCTTATAAGCAATCCTTGTAGCTCCCCGTCCTTCTCGTGGCTTTTTTCCCCTCCTTTCCATGTCCCCCTTTTCTCTGAGAGGATTGTTCATCAGTTTACCCTCTTAGTCCATGAGACTGTCACCCATTCAGCTCTAACATTCTGCCACTCTGGATTGAAGCAGCCTTTCCTATGTCATTGTATTGTAGCCCCCACCTAGAGTTCAAAGTTTTAGGAGACCCTTTCTTCTTGTTCTGTATTCTCCTTTAGGCTGCAGCAGTTCCTACAAACAGTATAGTTAGTGAGTATATGTTGATTAGCTGGTTGATGGTGTGTCTCATCACAATTCATCTCATAGGATATCCATCTCCAAATCACTCCTAGACCTAAGGCATCTGAACATCTCCGTGGAGGGCTGAGAAGTGGCTCTGTTAGAAAGGAATATGCCTGGAGAATTCAGTAAAATGAAACTGTCACTAAGACAATTCCAGCACAGGCCAATTACTAGAAGCCATTACTTGAAGAGTTTCCCTTCAGAACGACTTAAAGAGTCTACAGCTCACCGTTTTTGAAGCAAAGGCTTAAAAACTAGATTGCCATGATACTTACCATAGTGAATTAATGCAATTGCCCTTAAGCAGTTACATTTCCAAGAAATCATCAGGCATATGGTGTGTTTTTCTCTGTGACTTTCTGAGTTGGTTAACTTGTGACTTCTAATGAAGAAGGACATCACTGATGAGTGGCTCTAAATAAAAATTAAGGTAATGGGGTGGAAATTTAATAACATCAGTAATTTTCTCTTCTGATAGCAAGCTGAATTGTGATTAATGAACCTATTAGTAATGGCAATCTGTGTTGTGTTTAAACAACTGGGTTTGTGGACTGTCCTTGTGTCCACAACCAACCAGATGCAATTTTCTTAAAACTGGATTTTTATCTGTCACTGTTACAAGGGAATTTTTGCCTATAAGATCACCTTTCTGAAATTTTCTGAGGGGATTTTGTTCTTTTTGACAAGTGTCAAGCATTAAAAGTAATTAAATCAAAGGATCTGGCTGGTTTATGGCTTTGTGTCAGTTATTGTACCTCAATAATTCCTTGTTTGTCTTCAATATTTACTCAGCTGTGTACACAGTATTTTTACTTAGTAGTATTAGACCTGATATACTTGAATTGGTCAAAATCATTGCTATTTTCAAAGGTGTTTA